AAAAGAGAAAACAGCCTGTAATAAACTCAGATCGAACTTCTGATCATTTTGCCATCAACCATGACAACATTCCTCTTTTGCCAAATTATCACCAACCAGACGTCCGTCCTTTTGGAACATAAGCAGCACAATAAAATTAATATGCATTCACATTAACCCATTTATGGAGAAATCCTCAATAAATCCGCCGATCATCGCAAAATATCTAAGCTTCAATATATTATGCTATAATTGAAATGTTCTCAAAAAAAAACCTAATCAAAAATTCCATATGTGGAAAATTCATAATGAATTTCACGAAAATTGTAACATCAATCATTATTAATCTATAATGGGTCAATAAATAATTCCTATTCCACCCATTCCTAATTGATTGTGCACTTATATGTAGACACATTTTAGCAAATTTATGGAAATTCTTTCGGAAATATTTTGCCATTAGTGCGACAGACTGTAATAATTATCACAAAAAAATTTAAATGTTAAATCACAGTCGCTTCTCAAAAATCAAAAAATTCCATTCGCAGAGCAGCTCAATTAAAAAGTCTCTTAAAATACGCGTCATACAAAATGTTAAACAATCTTCTAATCTCCCAAATATTCGTTAAATTATCACAAAAACTGCCGCATAATATTTGAATGAACCTGTGAAATGTCCGAAAAATTTCACACTCATTCACTGATACATTTGCGTTTTAAATCAATATTAAAAGAATTCCACCACTTTCTCTCCGCATTATCGATTCAAGTTTCCCGACTTTTGGCTTCTTTCACTTTTTTCTCCACACACCACGCTGTCTCGCTGCGACGCCAGCGAACGACCAGAGACGCCTCTAGTGTTCTAAGTGTTTATGTGTATCCGAAAAAAAACCGGTCAAGGCCACTCCACGGTCGTTGTCTTGTAAGAAATTATCCGATTTAGAGCTCAATCGATTTTTCTGCCACGCTCACATCAATTCACATAACCCAAGTAACACCTCTCATCTCCTCCACACGCGTCTCACGACCTTTCCTCTTATCGCGCCTCCTCGCTGGCGATTGTATCAAAGAGAGTATGTATACCTCATTGGATTGTGTGACCAATGAGATATACAAGTGAGACAACGTCAAAATCGTACGTTATTTTTGCATGCTTCTCTTCTGTGACTCACACAGAGACCACGAGAATATTGAGAATTATTTGGGGTGACAACATATGAAAGAATAGAGAGAGCATTCTTATCTTCAGCCCACTCACTATAGTCTTGATTCCACACTCCTATCACAACACTTTCCTCTCTCTCTCTTTCTCTCGCATGAGTGTCTCAAGACTTTACACAAATTGCCGAGCATTCTTCTGTATCACTAACGCAAAATTACATAATTTTGGGTGAAAATAGGGAAAAAAATATAGCAATAAAAGCGAAAAATTTCATGTTAAGCTACACTATATGAGCGCACATGCAAATTAATTTCAATCACTCTCCCAGCAGAAAAAGTGTGCACGCTTTTTTCCCGCGGGCACGAGAGTTTTGTAATGCGTATTTCGGAATTTTTCATACTTTCAAACTCTGTTCGGGGAATTTCTTCCAGCAAACCGCAAATTGATTAGGAAGAAACTTGTATTTTCACGGGTAATTTCTTAAATAGGTGACAGTGGGGCAGTTTTGCATAAAACCATAACATCTAACTTCTACAGTACTGTAATGTTGTGAGTCTAAAATCGCCCCACTCTTCTCTACATCCATTTCATGCTATTATAACTTCATTTTTAACGACAATAACATTTCTTTTGAACAACTTTTTGATCACAAAAACCTGTCGCATAATTTTACTTCAGCTGTTACAAATTCATTTGCGGTTTGGTATTTGGCCAATTAAAATTCTATAGAACAATTTTAATGAAAAACATTTCCATGAATCTTCAAAACAGAGATAAAACTGTTGTACAACCTGAAGAATATTCTCTTAGTCACGTGTGAATCAGCAATTGATGTACTTTCCAATAATTCCCATAATCTCACTGATATTAAATAATCCTTCACAACTCATTGCTGATAAAATATCGTAAAAATTCACACAATGTTATGACTGAACTTGGAATTCAAGAAGATCCCAAATGACGTTCTCCCCCTTGAGTGACTCAGTTTCCCACAATTTTGAACAATAATAGATGAAGAAGTGAGTGAAATTATGGGAAAATACTAATAATCACGTGAAATGAGCAAAAGTGTAAATAAAGTACAAATATGCGGCACGACCTCAACAATTAATGAATATTGATAGGGAAATTGACCAAGAAAGGCAAAGAAAGGAATTAATACCACCGACATTGCGACAAGGGTGTCAATTCGCCACTTAGCCTTACGTCCTCAATCACAACAATTGAATTAAACTTATTTGTAATTCTTACGAAATACGATGTTTACAATTTCCTACATGGCATGCAACTCTTCTTGTGTGACTCTTTTTGCCCTTTTTCTCACACACACCATTCGTTGGTGTCCTTTATCTATTTCTTCGCATCAGCCTTAATAGAATTTTATTCACTTTATTGTGCACTTCCGCACTCAATATACAACAATCATATTATAAAACTCTGGTGCCTAACCATACAGTATATAAATAAATGTATGACTTTAAGAGAGAATTTGGCTTACATTGCATCAACATCACTTCTTCTTCTTCACTCCTTTCCACTCTTTCTCAACCACGCATTTTCCCTCTTCGCTTGCAGCATTTGCGATGCGTGAATCAGACACATTTTTCAATACCAATCAATCGCGAGATACCCATTTTCAAAATACCTGTATTGAGTAAATAGGCGAAACAAAAAAAAAAACCTGCATATCGACAAAGTGATTTGTGGAAAAAAGATCACAGAAGCACACAAACACACACACACGCACACAAATTGTGCACAACCCAATTAATTCTTGCAAATTTAGCACTTTGGCGAACACACTTTTTTCCGTATTTACCTCTGCTGTGCAGAAAATTAAGTATAAAAGAAAATATATTTATTGGACAGTGAAAGTCTCCAGTCTCTCACTCCTCCTTTTCTATAACTATACATTTCATTCATTTCTTTTTTGGTATTTCACCATACATACACACTGGCAGACGACGAAAAAAAAAAACCACGAAAGTCACTTGACGAGTGTATTAAATTGAATTAAATTAATAGCAGAGATTCTGCTTGGTCTGCTTTTTCTTCATCGCCACTACAAACCATCGCGCAACATCTTCATTCGTTCAATTAATAGCAGAATTCGATGCTCTAGAAACCTAATGAGATTTTTTTTCTTCTTCTTTTTCTTCTCTCAACTTTTCGAGGACAATAGAGAAGTCTATTTTCCCCATTATTATTCAACAAGGCATCGAAGAATAACTGCTAAAATAAGGCGCGCGATGTCGATGAAAAAAATTTGGGAAAGACCATCGAGGAAGAAACTTTTTATACACTCATAACATTCACTTGAACTTTAATAGAATTTGTGAGGGAGATTCAATGCAAATTTTTTCCCATCTCGTACACTTTCCAAGCGGAATGCCAATATAAAATTTATTAGATGCAAAAAAACATGAAAAATATTAATGAAATATCTCAATGTTTTATTGAATGATATGCCAGTGTTTTTAATAAAATATTTTGCGAATATTTTCGTGAAGAAATTGAGAAAAAGTGTGTATTTATTATTTGAAAAGGGTATTAAAAATGCGTCGTAGAGTTGAATTCACATTGCAAAATTGTCTCTAGAAATAATATTTTAATGATTTGTCGAAAGTGAATCATTTCGCCCAAAAAAATAAATCTTTAACAAAATCACTGGAAAAAATTTCACGGTAAATAAAATATGAAGAAACTGAAAGAAAAGTTCACAGAAGTGAAACCTAATCAGAGGCAGAATTATCAAACAAGACTTACTCGTGATCAATCACAGACGAAAAGCATAAATAACAATTTGAAATGACTCAATTATACTCTAATAACATGATTTCAAATTGACTCAAGATCTTTCAAATTACTCCATAAACATCATTAAAGATAATTTAGGATGAAATTCTCAATTTCCAATGAAAGTGCATTTTTCAGCCCAAGGAAATGAGCAAATCAGTTGAGAAAATGAACCTGACTTTAAAAAATTTGCATAATTCTCTCAATAACACTCGTCGTTTCGTGATTTCTTTTGTGAATTCTCAGAATAAACTTAGAAATTTTCAGCGTGCTTTGGAGAGACAAAAGAAAACAAGGTGTTGAAAATCGATGGAATAGTTGTGCGTTTGGGGATCGCTGACCTTCTTCTCTCTCACTCCAAATCCCTCTTCTACACCCTCAGCAACTCTGCCCCCATGGAATTATGTGTCTAACCCATTAAGACATCCTGTGTTGTTGCCCTTCCGCGTGAATCAATCGATAATCATTCACTGCCGCCCCCCGTCTGCGGGCCCTTCCCGTGGAAATTCAATAATTTTCACACTATTTCTTCCTATGGCACCTCCAGAGTGTCTTTCTTCATCCATATTCATGCCATTCTCTCTCGCTGCCGCGGAATTTGAATAAAAATTTCTATTTGGAAGTTGAGAGAGCGTGCGACGGAGGGGATTTGCATAAGCGCGACAGCGGGTCACGGCGGAGATCGTGGCTGTGCACGCAGATCGATTGACAAGGCAATTAGCGTGACCCGAAGGCCTCCTTTCCGCCCACTATCGCGGCGGCATGTAACAGGTCACTCGTGATCCTGCTCGCACTCGCCGGAACTCCGCATTCCGGGAGGCTGTCCTGCAAAAGTAATCGCCATGCCGAGACCCCTGATCAGATATACGATTAGGCAGCAACTGTAAATGTGTTAATTTTAATCGAGATATGTGCCGCTTTCGCGAAAATCCAATAATGAACTGGTAAATCGCCGTCTTCTCTCTCGCTCCCTCCTTCGCGGCCAGAGCCTCTCTGACAAGGCGAACACACCCAGAAATGCGCCGCCCGGAAGGCGCGCGCCCCCATCCCGTGCGCTACTCACCTCCCAGGGGTGACAGGATGCTCAGTTCGTGACGCCCTGATGGCAACACCAGGCGGCTGGGCGCTCTCAGACTGTCCGGAAGCGGAGCGAAAACGGGACTTTGCGGCGCGTTTGAGGTTATGTCACACTCTCCGTCCGGACTGGCAGCAATCACACACGGTGGCCTCTTCTGCACGCATCCACTCAGAGCACACGCCCGTGCACTGTCTCCACTCACGCACAGTGATTTCTCCGCGATGCGAAAGGTGCCACAGCAATCGATACGGCACGGAGGGGGGAGACTCAGCGAGTAAACACGTCCACTCTCTGTCGAATCACAGTTGAGACTGCCGCAGTGGAGGCGCTGCTGCACAGAGTAGCACAGAAAAAAAACTGTTATATTGGCGTGTGGCGCCTCGCGCGAGCTCACGATCAACCCCACAAAGCAGTTGAGGTGTTGCGCGCCGAGAAACCTTGCAAAGCCGAACGCACTGAAGAAAAACTATGAAAAACCAGAGGAAATGAGCAATTATTCCTCAAGCACCTGCACAAGTTCCATCTGCAGAGAATGCTGACGCATTGTCTGCGGGAAATCAATTTCCATGCTTGAGGAGAAAATATTTGCAGATGCAATTGAGATGCTTAGCTGGATGACCGGTGGCGCCGCGTGTGAGAAAACGCAAACTGTCAAAAGTTGTGCGTCCTCTCGGTTTTTCAGCGATAAAAATTTGTTTACGTTTTTTCTCCAGCAAAAAAGCACAGAAAGAGTCAGTTTTTGTGGTGTGCTGTGGCCAGAAGTGCTCCCACTCGAGACGCACCATCCCTCAGACGTCGTCCAGCGCGAATAGACCGGTGAATTCGGTGAATATTTTCGCGAAATTTCCCATTATTGATCGCCTTCGCCACCCCAAGAGCCCCTCTTTTACACTTTATTAACCACGGTCGACAATCCGGCCGAAAAGAGCTATTTTGGACTCCACGGAGAGTAAATAGCGTGCTTGAGGCTCTCCTGGAGGGGGATTTGACCACATAGGGTTGCTTTCGCGGGGGGAAAATGGGCGAAAATATTGGGCGGTGGGTGAGAGAGCTTCCATTGTTTTCACTGACTTTTTTCTCGTTCAACTTTGTCGTCCGGAAATGCAGAGAATCTCCCAGCAAGATGACCAATCTGGAGCAGCAGCACGAGCTGGTGAAGACGAGCCTCTTTCAGTTCGTCAATGCTCACATTCCGGGCGCCGATCTGAGTGTGGTGGACGAGATCGTGCTGTCTTACGTCATTTCGATCCTCGAGGAGGCTTCGCAGGATCCCTGCTTCGACGTGGAGGGCTTCGTGGAGATGATGTCGGCGTACATCAGTGATTTCTCGCGCATTGATCCCGGTGTGATTTGCACCTGGATTTTCCAGCTGGAGAGTCAGCTGAGCAAGCTCACGGCGACCACGGCCAAGGATCCGTGCGATTTGTCGCTCAACTCCCTGAATCTGGCGGACATTCTGCCGGAGACGAAGCTCAGGGCGCGCCCGCCGACAATTCCGAGCGCCGAGGCGGCCGTGAAGAGGGTGCAGCATCTCTCCGAGACGAGCGACGGCGGCTCCACGGACAGCTCCAGCTGCGACTTCTTCTCCGAGGAGTGCGACGCCCTGCAGGAGATGTTCCCCGAGAGCACCTTCCTCGAGGTGAGTCTTCAGCACTGTGGCTGTGGCGGAGATTGCTCAATTCACTCCATTGCAGGTGAAGCACTGCGTGACGATTGCGAGCGGCGACATCGATCGCGCCACGCAGATTCTCCTGCATCGCCAGGAGACGGGCCAGAGTCTGTCTGGGAACGGCACAAACATCCAAGCGCCCAAGAGCCAGTCAATTGACGATGCTGAGCTTAAGAATCGCATCATCGCCAGGTATTCGTATGTGGACAAGAACTCGGAGAATCGCGAATACAAGCCGGTGGCGCCGAAAGTGGAGCCCAAGAAGTTGGTGCGCTATCGCGACAACAAGATTGTGTCGCTGAAGGGTGAGCGCTACACCGAGGTATGTGGTGATGATGAGGCTGAGTTGAAAAAACCAAAGAAACCAATTTGTCCGTAACTAAGATTGTTCACGTATAAAAAACAGAAGCGTAAATTGTCCAGTGTGCTTATCACCTCACAATTGCTTCCCAAATGGGGCCCATTTCACATCCTCGGCCACTCTGTCCCTCCTATGTTTCTGTTTTTTATATTGAACCATCTTCTGTGGACGCCACAAGCGGGCGAGGGCGCTTGCTCGCGCGCGCTGTGTTCAGGTGTGCTGTACTTACTGATAACCCTAAGTTTATCCACCCACTCGACTAAGGGGGCGCCCACGGGGGCCCCCACAATGTGTAGCGCGACGCCCAGGTGGCGTCCGGTTAAGTTAATGATGCAATTACCATTTCTGCATGGTGGCGACTGTCTCATGAGTGAATACTTTAACAATTATAATTACTTTAGTGTGTTCTGCCGAAGAACGTCAACAGTTACAATTATGCATATTGTATTAGTTATTTCAATTAATTATTTATTAGTTAATGCAAATCTAGCGTCTATGTATTATTCCAATTGGACATTGTTGTGATATTAGGACTATACTGTGACGAAAGATCAACTTTTCTTGTGGGAATCTCAATTTAAGGGGGCTCAGAGTCACCTCAGAGGTGTCGAGTATACATTTTTCGTGTGTCCCCGCATTAGAAAAACCATCTAGTCATTCATAAAAGACGTTTGTCTCCTCCCTCTCAAAAGCTCAATATGCAGTCTGATCAGGCTTTGATTGGGAGCTTTTACGATGCAATTTTTTTTCTACTTTTGAGTCTTCTCGTGAATCTCAGAGATGCTAAAGTCCGTTGTGACTTTGCATCTCGAAATCTCTGTTCATTCTGTCAGTCAGAGTTTGATCAGATTGCGCATTGATTGACCTCGTAATGATACCAGTACAAAGATATTTTTGTTTCCAATTGATTCATCCTTATTTTTCATTCATCTTCCCCTTGACGAATGTGCCAATCATATATTCTTTTTTATTATTGTTTATTTAAAAAGAATAACAAAGTCTCCAACAACCCTCGAGTGTGTTCCAACGACGAGTAGCGTTGATTCCTAGAAAAAAAAAAACAAAGCAACCATGACTTGATACAGGAAAAACAAGGACGATATGAAATCCTACCATTGACAACCAATTGAGCAGTATGGCCCTAATATAACATGTATAATTTTAGTTCCTCTCTGTAGTAATATCTTTTTTTTCAACCCCCGTTTATCTCGACAGAGTAAGATGGCAGAGAAAAAAAATAGGATAACAAGTGCACATGAATTTATTTGCAAGTAGAAAGAGCGAAAAAAGGTGAAGAAAAGAATAGGAAGAAACCTACTTAAGAGGTGTCGACAAGGAATTCACAGTAAAATATTCGTATTTCTTAAATGTGTGTTAATTGCAACACTGAGTATTGAATGTATTAAGTGACATGATGTAGGAATTATTATGTGAAATGACGATGGAGATTAATGATGATAATCTTACTTGGAAATACAGATCAGTGAAACTGAGAAACAATTTTTTTTCAACACTGCTGCTTATCACAAGAGAGAAAAAAACAAGTAATCTTCAGGATAAAGAGTTACACTTTTTATTACAAAAGTTCGTCTCACTACAATTTATTTCTCATTGCCTCTGAAATTCCACAAAATCAGGGGAAGCCTTCACACATCCTTCCCAAGAAATTCCTCAATATCTGCATAAATCACACTCTTACAAAATACACTTCTAGGGGAATAAGTTATAATTGGAAATGCTGCAAATGCTAGAAGTTTTCCTTGGTCTGCTTGCTGGGCGACGCCAGAATGGGCTGGCGATTGGTGTTCTCGATCAGGATGGGCTTCAGGATGCTGCTCTCCGATCGCACATACTCGTCGCCGATCAGGCTGAGGTCCAGGTTCCCGTCCAGCACCATCACGGGCGCCGGGCGGTGGTGTTGGCCGTGGATCAGCCAGTTCTCGTAGCGCTCGTGGATCTCGCGCAGATACTCGAGCGGCACGCAGCTCTCCTCGGAGCGCGCGCGCGCCCGGACGCGCTCGTAGGCCACCTCGGGATCCGTGCGCAGATACACAATCAGATCCGCCTGCACGTTCACCATGGACTCGATGCTGTTGTACCACTCCTCCAGGATGTTGTACATGCCTGGGTGCAGCATTCCCGAGCGCACCATGTTCTCCACGAAGCAGTAGCGCGCGCTGTACATGGAGCGCTCCATCAGCTTCACGGACTTGTCCGTGGGGTGCACGTGCATGTTCAGCATCGTGATGGTAACGTAAGTCTGGAAGGGCATGGCCCATCTGCAAGAGTTAACGTCAAAGCTCAGCACAATCTCTAATTTCATCACTTCGCAGAAGCGGTAATCCGAAGCCACACCTTATGCAATCCCACGCGCTCTGGGATTCACGGAAACTCACCTGTAGGGCTCCTTGTACATGAGATCCAGGAGATTGACTCCGCCGCAGTTGCGCCACTGCTCCACGGGTTCCGTGAGAAGGCACACGGAGTCTTGGTACTTCTTGAAGTGGTTCAGGAAGGTCGTCTTGCCACTCCCGATGTTGCCCTCGATGAACACCGTAAAAGGCTGTCCCTGGGCACAGAACTTAGCTCGTCCGCTGGCCATTGTCGATAGGAATCTGCCTGAAATTGGGTCAAAGAGACGCTCGGTTAACCAACTCATCTACCGACCCACGCTAAGATTTTCACACTTTTCACAGGGGCGAAAAAGTCACTTCAAGCAGCTTTTCACACTGGATTCCAATGCACACGCAATTATTGTAATCTTGAACAGACTCTGTCACGGTTTTCTGCAAAATCAGGACACAGAATTTGGACGAAAATGTGAAAAATCCAGACGTGTGGAAGCGTCGATGATGAGCGAGCTAAATTAAGAGCGTTGATTTCCCTCCAATTTTGAACTGACAAACTGTCAAGAGGTCACTTCCTGTTGTCACTCCGCGAAATCTTTTGTTGACGATTTTTTTGCCCTTCTAAGCCGCATGAGTTTCGTGAAATCCTCACAAATCTGATTGAGTAGCGTCAAATTTGCCACCAGCTGCCCGAAGGCTTGACGAGATTTGCAGATCCGAAGCAATTACACAAAAATGTTCCATACTTACAGAGATTTCGCATCATTGTGCAGGAATTACACAGAGATCTCTCCGTATAATATTTGACACTGCAGAACAGAGATTACACTGTATATACATCGAATTCGTGAATCTGAGGAACTAAATGATATATTTCATCATTTATCGCAATTGTAGAAACAACGATTAATTAATTTGTTTTGGTTTATTTCACCAGCACCTCCTTCACGACGCCATTGCCAATGACAGCTCTCCTTTGTCGTTAACAGCGCCATCTGGTAGTAAATTGGTGGCGGGAAGAGTGGTGAAAACGATTTTCACCACACTTTTTTGGTATGCTGTTGGACAGTTCGCGCCGCAAAATTGCGAACATTGCCCTAAAAATCTCCCATGATTTTATTCTGGATATTAAAACCACTTTGATCGTTGATAGTGTATATTTTTTTGAAGATACAATTACATTTTTGCTCGATTTATGCAAGAAAGTCATACAACAATGTTAATAAATAAGAAACAATTACAAAAGCGTCTCTACAGTAGATTTTCTCGACGATTAGCTAGACTCTGATAAAACATGGATAAAAATGTGATATTTTCCATTATTTATATATCTAAATTTCAATTCTCATTACGCATTTAACTGCAAATGTGACGCCTTTTTAGATGATAGACAGATAAGGAAAATCTTCTGGAATCACAATCGAATTTGGCACAATATTGATTGTATAGAGACTTAAATAAAATGCATGATAAATTCGATTTTAAAATTTAGCAATAAAGTGACAAATTCAAGAGGTTGCAACCTTTGCAAATTATTTTCCTTCCTTCCTCGTGAAGCATCGTCTGTCTATCGCCTAAAAATTACCCATTCGTCTCCTCAAAGCCTCAGAAAAGAAAGTGAATATCTTGGTCTATGAAGCATTCAGCAGTATTGACTGTGTTTTTAGTTTGTAAAGTTAGATTATTACAAAAATAAGGCTATGTCGCGGAACGACACGTGTCTCTGTTTAAAATTGTGGCAGTTTGTTCTCCATGTTGGCTGGTGATTCGAATGTGATGGTCGATTTAAAAAATTCCGTCAATTTCATAAATTACAAATAAGTTATATATATGTATATAAATCTACATAGGACTGTCATATGTTAAAATGCATATCATCTCTCAAATAGACTCCTTATCCTATCAGGAAAAGAGGATGCAACAAAGTAGGTCGATAGGGATTCGTTATTCGCGCGATCCGATCAAATTAATATCCTAAAACAGTCTACTAAGTTATTGCGATGAATCTGGGCGCCTGCGAGTCGCATCAGAGTGCCGTCTCGAGGGACGGCGTGCCCTTGGCGGGCTCCGGGGAGCTGCGCTTCTCCTTGGGCGCCGCCGGGCTCAGCCCGAGCAGGAACTGCGCCCGCTGGGCTTGCAATTGACTCCGGTTGGATGCGTAGGTGGGCGTCTTCTGCATCTCGTGCTTCATGAAGTTGTTCTCCTCCGCCTTCAGGAAGATGTTGTCCTTCATCTTCACAATCTCCTCCACCACATTCTTCGTCTCCGTCTTGATATCCACCGGTGGCGTCACGTCGGACGCGATTGAGCTGCGCCGCGTCGAGTTTCCTGGGCTGGAAGAATTGTCCTCCTCACTATTGGCTTCGGGGATCGACGTGGACATCACGTCGTGCTTCTTGGCACTGTTCAGCCGCCAATTGGCACGCGGCGACATGTGCTTGGCCGGCGATCCGCCAAAGTTGCCTTGACGAATCATGCGTCGACTCGCGAAGGTCTTGGGCGATCCGCTCAGATCCTGGATTTTGAGGCTCGAGTTGAGCGCCGGCTTCACTGGGCTCGGCTCGGGCTTGGGCTTCTTTAGCAACTGCTCCACAGCTGACGGCTTCGTGATAGCGCTGCCCTTGCCAGCCTTCGCCAGCAGCAGCCTCTTGAAGTCCATCAGGCTGGTTTTGGGCGCTCCCATGCGGTCTGAGCAAGTTTGTGGAATCTCCACGGCGTCCGACGCCCAGCTGTGCCGACCGCGGCTCTGCTGCGGCTCCAAGATGCCGCGTGGCGTGGACCGACCGGAGCTGGAGGGGCTGTTCCCGCTGGATCGCACTCCCTCGTGGATCCTTAGCTTTGTGCGCAGCTCATCCGCGAGGTTGGGCTTCGTGGAAGTGTCGCCACGGCTCGGCGTGGACGTCCTCATGCTGCCGCCACTTCGCGGATCGATGGGCGACTCTGTGGGGCTCTCGCGGAGGCTCGTGGACTCCTTCACGGGCGAGAAGAAGGTCTCGAAGCCCAGCGGCGTCGTCTTGAGCGGCGTCCGCTTCGGCTTGTTGGGCGTGGAGTAGAGCGCCTCGACTGGCGGCCGCCGCGCTTGCAGCGTCCAGAACGGCGAGCCGGCGCTCTCGTAGGCGGCGGGCGGCGGCGCACACGCTATCGGCGCACGTGGCAGCGTGGCGAGGTGGGTCCGAGCGTCGTCATGGTACGAATGTGGATAGCCTAGAGAAGGGCACATCATTACTCCGGGCTCTGCCGATCCGCGGGGCGCGCGGAGGAGGAGAGTGGTGAGTGCTGATGGAAGCGTGCTCGGGGCAAGTGGCACATGCATTGAAACACACACACGGGATGGCGCACAAGAGTGGTGAGAAGGGGGAAAAGCCATTCATAAAACACGGTGCATAATTTGCAGAGATTATATGCAACAGAGTGCAGTCGGTGGTCGGAAGGTTACACACTTTTAAAAATTCATAATCTGCAAAATTTTACTACAATTTTAGATATGTACATGTAACTACATATTATGAAAATGGGAAAAAGTGAAAAAATGAGGGAAAGAAGTAACTTTTCATATAAATTTTCAGTCGATGCAAATTTTTCTGATTAATTTAGGAATAATTTAATTTCTTGGTTGATTTCCTGAATATTTTACTTTCTAGAATTAAGTGTGTAAAATTTCCTGTCCACCTGCTGTGTGTATTTACAAAATGTGTGTAAACGCAAAATTAGTAGCAAATTAGGTAAAATTGCACACAAACTCACATGTTAGTGAAAAAACACATAAACACAATTATTTTTTCCATGTCAATTGTTTTATTTACATCAAAGAAAACAAAACCATTTATTAAGTATTTTCTGTGTCAAATTAAAAATTAAACTTAAGATTAACACCTGTTCAATTGCTTGTGTTGTGAATTGTAAATGAAATTAATACTGTGTCCACACCGATAAAAAGCCTTCACATAAATTAATTGAGAAAAAATAAAATAAAGGATCTGTGATCATGTATGATGGATGTGAGTGTATTTACACAAAAGGGATCAAAAACCAAACAGTGTTCATTTGAGTAAAGTTTCAGTGTGATTGTCGCTGAGAGAAGCAGAGGAAGTGCAAAAATGTTTTAGTTGGATGGCACACTCTTGATGGGGAGAATGTGAGTTGAAATATTTACACACAATGATTTCCTCCACAACCCCACATCCCACGACCCTTCTCTTCTCTGCTCTGGCACACTCTCGGGGGGGAGAGAGAGAAAATGTGTAATCGATAGTGTGGAAGCGGGACAGGGAAGTGCAGGGGCGGAAGGACTTCACCAAATGTCCGTTGCTCCCATTTCGCGGAAGCTCAGCACGCGAGCTCGGTGCTCGTGACTGTCGCCGGGCAGTGTCACGCGACTCGGCGTGAGGGTGAGCACCTTCCGCACTGGAATGGGCGAGCCGAAGATGCCGTCGTCGGACTCCATCGCCCTGTCCTCCGTGCCGCTGAAGTCGTTGAGCAGCTTCTCGAAGCTCTTCGTGACCGTCTTGCTCACGTTTCGGTACTTGCTGGTCTCGAAGTAGTCGAAGGAGCGGGGTTGGGCCAAACTGGGGGTGGTGCGGTCACAGCTGGCGCTCCTGGTCGATGACCGAAACCGCGGGTAGTGGTAGGTTTTGGGCGACACAGAGGGCGGATAGTTGATTTGCTCGCGCTGCAGCTCCTCCTGGAGCTCCTTCTGGAAGTCCTCGACGCACTGTTCGCCGCCGTCGGCGGTCAGGAGCGCGCTGTTTGCCGCCCTGTAGCTGTCACTGCGCTTCACGAGCTTCTGCTGGCGCTTCGGCGAGGACAAGGTGGGCGACGGGGAGGGGAATCGGGGACGTCGGGACGGGGATTGAGCGAGTGGCACTAAGTTCTTACTCTTACCTGGACTGGACGCGAGTAGCGGCGGCGGGGGCGGCAAGTATGTGTCCTCCTCGCACTGGAGATTCACATAAGCGCCCATGTCGAGTGACCCAATTGGGAGCATCGGGGCCTTGGCTTCCTGATTCGCGTGGGTGGCCTCCTCCTTCAGGGGTTCATTGGCCGCGCTGGCCTGATTTTCACTCGCGAACTTTCGGGCGGGATTGATGATGGGCACGGGGCGCACAACGGTGGGCTGGCGGTGGGACGGACCACCCGGGGGTGGCGTTGGCCCACTCGTGGGGCTCCCCTGGCTGATGTCTTTGACACACGGGCCTGGCGCAAATGTCGTGTGTGCACCCTTCCGTCGCTTCAGACTGTCTGAACTGTACACAACTTTCCCTTGCGCATCCAGCATGACGCGCGCGCCCCTTCGATTCTCCGTCTCCGTATCGATTTTCTTCTCGGACGTGCCACTCTCGATGCTGGGCGACAACAGATTGCTCTCGCATCGCATGCTGGCTGGCAACTCATTCAGAGACACATACTCCGTCTCCTCCGCCAGGTTGCCCGATAGAACCGTTGCCAAGTTCCTCTTCACCACGTCGTTGGAGTAGTAGACACCCCCGCTGGGGGTCTTGTTGTTATTCTTCACGTCCGCTATCGTCACGTACTCTCCGGCTGTGTCGGGCTCCGGCGGCGACTCCATGCCAGACTCCTCCTGGGTGTCTTTCTGCGGACTCTTGAGCTTCGACAGGGTGGGCAGAACCCCCTTCAGCTTGCCCAGCATCGTGTTCAGTGGCAACAGAGTGGTCTTCTTCACATACTGCACCTCCTTCTTCAGCTCCACGGGCTTCAGAGCAGGGGCGCTCACCTTAGGCGTTTCTACGGTCTGGACGGTGGCGTAACCCGTTGTCTGATTAACAGTGATGATCTGCATTTTATCGCTATTAGCCTTCTCGCTGGCTGTGTTGAATTCCAACGAATCCAAGTCCGTCTCCTGCAAAGGTACCTCAAGTTTCTGCCTTTGGCCAATTGATCCCACCTTCTTGGCGATAACCGTTTGGTACTCATCGTCACTGTTCGTCGGAGTAATTACGCACATTGACGGAATCCTGCTGGAGTTAATCGTTGTCTTGTTTCTGATCCGCTCAATGCGATCAACGCCTTCCAAATCTGATGACTCTGAGTACTCAAATTCAGAGTAGCTGCGCACTCCTTGAGTTGGGCTGGAATTGGCATTGGATTCAACTGGTGAGGAACTAGTGTTGTTCCCACTATCCGGAGAATCTGTCCTAGTTTCCTTCTGATGCTCCTGCTGATGCTGATGCACAATGGCAGCCACTTCCTTCTGCAGCAGCACACCATTCCTCTTGATAGTGCCCGTTCTCTCCAACGTGCTGCCCACAGTGCTGCTGGAATAGCTCCTCTCGAGAGTGCCTCCACTGTTTGTGCTGCTGCTCCTGTGCAGCTTCGTCAGCGAACTCTTGCGCTCTGGAACAGTGGGGCCCACGATCAGGCTCCGATCGCTTCCGGCAGCCTTGAGAGTTGTGCAGACAGTTCCAGCCGAACTGGTTGTTGTCGATGTTGATCCCTTCCCGAACAATTCGTATTCATTCTCTGCCGAAAGAACGGTCTGATTGCCAGAACTGGAGAACGAATTTGTGGACGAAAGGGCTGAAGAGGTGTGCAAAGGTGTCACTGGTTCTTCCTCCTTGAGAGTTTTCAATCCCGAATCAACGTGGAAGGATGTGTAATAGCCCTCGGTGTCGCATGAGTAAGCCGAACTTGTCTCTCCATCATCGTAGAACATCTCGTGCACCTGCAGATCTGGCGTTGCAGTGCCTTCGCTGGTCACACTGCTCGAAGCGCTGGTGTTGAGGAATCGCCTTCGGCTGATGATGGAACTGGGCGGACCACTACCTGGATGATGGTTGTGGTTGAGACTATTGCTGGAAGCACTCGATTTGGGCTGAGCTGTGATCTCACTCCCGATCGAAGTGCGTCCCGATTCGGAGCTCGCACTCCAATTTCCACTGGAGGAGTTCGGCTCCTCTCTTGTGGCCATTCCAATTCGCCTCTGTCGTCGAATCGACGAGGACTCACGCAGCTTAACAGGATTTATACTAGCTGGGGATGCGATGGAGATGCTCTTCTCCGACGAGGAGTACGAGGGCTTTCGCTCATGCGAAAGCCTCCGCTCCTTCTCGCCCATCTTGCGGCGACTGCGAATGCCAATGCTCTCGTGGACATTGAAGTCGTCAATGTCTGAAGACTTGGCACCGCTCTGGGCTTCTCTTCTGTCCTCGCTGCTGTTGCGATTCATCATTCGCAATCGATTCATGCCCCATTGCTTCAGCGAATTGAAGTGGGTGGACAAGGTGCGGCCAGAATCCACGGTGAATGGGTCTCTCTTGAGGATGTCGCTCGACTTACTTCTCGACACAACTGTCAGCAGATCCTCCAAGTCGTCCGGCGCCACCACAGTTTCCGGTTCCCTGTGCGTGTACAAAAGGCGTTAGTTTGACTCCAGTACTTCGATCTAATCACTCATTTTTTTAGCATTCTGGCAAGAGACACACTCAAAACATTCCAGAACAAATTGATCAGAGTTCCAAAAAAATCGCTCAAAATTAGCTGACTCTCAAAAAATTCAAGACGCATGCTTTTCAAAATAGTTGAAAAATTCATCTGAGTGTTTGGAAATGCGATCAATTTGGTTCATCATTGAAATTTCGGCAATTAATCGTTTGCTAGTTTACCCAAATTTGCAAATCAACCAATTGTAATTAGAAACTCCAAACTTAGTCGAAATACTGGAGTTGATGCAACACAATTTCCATCAATCGTGTAAATGTGATATATTCTGTGGCAATTTGAAGGGAAGACATATATTGTGAATGGTTTTGTGAGTATTGAGAAACATAATTCCTAAACATACAAAATCAATATAGACACACAAAACTGATTAGGATTCTCTGTACAAACAAATGGGGAAACATTCACTGTGAAAAGTCTATACAAATTTATCTTGCAAAGATACTCAAGTGTTATATTATAGAAAATGTTCCTTTATATAGATAACGGAGTGTTTGAACATTAAAAATTATGCAAATTACACATGTAATGTCCTCTTTTCGGGATAACGATAAAATTATAGCTTCCGCCCTACAAACATGCAATTTGTATTTCAGGTACAAATAGTAATTTTGAGTAATTTCTCAATTAATGGGACAGCACAAGGGTGAACAAATGCAATTGTATATTTGGCATATTAATTTCAATTTGTTTGCTCGTCCATGGAATTTGTGTGACACACAGGAAAGCGCACGAGAACAGAGAGAGATAAATTTCAGCAATTGTCATTCTGCAAAGAAGTGACCACGGAGGGTGCCGAAATATGCGAGAATTCATCGTCAAATTTCCTCCGCATCCCATGACTTACGGATGGCACAGAATAGAACTGGAGGGCAAAAGTGTTGGCGCCACAAATGGTGTGAGAAGTGCAAATATTTTAATTTTAACCCAGGAATTTCACAAGTCACCACCAGCAATGGTAATATGTGTAAATTCTAGTGAAATGCACTCGAAATATTTCTGACATTTTCCATTTGCGTAAAAATTGCACTTATTAAAGTTCCATCATGAATGGAGTGAAGACAATGAGAAAAAAAAAGACTAGGCAAAGTTGAAAATACCCATAAATCTTCACCCAAAACCTCCGCCACTTTTGCTGCCCACCCACAAAAAGTCTTTGATAGCGAATTTCTCTCGAGTTTTTAAAGAAAACTTTCTTATGCATGAGCAATTGCTGAAAGGAGTGTGCGAATCATGGTTTTTCGGGGGTTTCAGCACGTACCCATTGGCAGCTTCCTGGATCTCCTTCTGGTCAGTGCCGGCCAGAGTATTTCGCCGCTTTCCGCGCGGTTTCTTCGGTCGCGAGCGTCGCTTCACAGTCTGGTTGTCGACACAGTCTGACGGCGGGGAACTGACGCCACTCTCTGACGCCGAGCCCGCGGTGTGGGTGTGCAAGAGGGACTTTCGCGTGTGGCACATTCGGTCGAAGCGCTTCCCTGAAATGTCCACCGACACGACTTCCGCTGGGAATCTGTGGAGAGAAGGGAGATTTTTCATTTCAGTAAACACACAAAGTTCAGCTGATTTGGGAATGGCAAGTCTGTGTAATTTAAGATAAATACAAGTGATAAGATTCAGGATATGCTATCTTAATATAGAAAGCTATTAGTAAAAGTCTGCATAAGAAAACGAGATGATTTTATAGCTCAAGAAGACAACTCCAATTGGTCGAGGCAGTAAAAATCACAAAACAGTAAAATGATCGTAAATCATATCTGCAATAGCATCAACTCTTGTGCCGTAAATTGCATTTGAAACTTACTTGAGGGCAAGAATCTGGCACTGTTCCTCTGGCGATGGCAATCTGTGGTCCAGCGGCATGTCGTCTGGCGTGGCGGACAGAGTGTCGTGGACGCGCGAGCCGCTGATGACCGTGATGTCGTCTGGCTCATCCTCGTCGCCTGATGGTGGCGTGCAGGGAGTCACCACCACGGCCGGATGTCCGCCCGAGGCGTCCGTGGAGTTCAGCTGTCCAGCGAATCCCACACGTGGCACACAATCCGGCGTCACCGTGATATCTCCAATAGCCTCCAGTGATGTCCACTTCCTCAGGTCGTCAATTGCAGCCGGCTGAAATGAGTGGTTTCATCATTTTTGCGATATTACCAACTGCAAAACCATCAGTACTCGAGCGATGTGAGTGTAATTAAGGGCTTTCGGGAAAAAAAATCCGCTGGCGAAAAGGCAGTTGAGCTTTTCCATTTTACATTTTTACCCACATTTTTCCTCAAATACATAGATTTTTGCTGGATTTGGCATGAAAACTGAAGCGTTTCATTGAATCACACTTCCACTCGAACGTGGAATTAGTGGAAATAAATGGATATGATAAAGTGTTCGTTTTGAAATATGTCACGTACTGGTAATGTATAATTTTAAATGGAAATCGTCACGCGAAACATTTGATTTTCGCGAGTATTGTAAATGGGTTCATTACACTCTATACTAGATCAGCTTCAGTTGTAGATGTAGAATTAAACAGGAGGATTAAATGGGATATGTTGTCACATGAATTGAATATCAAATCGATGGGGTGAATAATTCGATAAACTATGTGATAAAATGCACAGTTAAGAAGGGGATGATGTTGAGTGTAAGTGACCACCATTTGTCATCTCACGTTGTCAACACGAGAGAGTTTCTGGTGGCTTTCAAATTCCCTTTTCCCCCGGGAATTTTGTGTATTCTGCAGCTGAAGTGGTTCTTCTTGAAATGTATTGCAACGAGCTGCAAACGTCAATATTCATCTTCATGGGTTGATTTATCTCTTTTCAATTCCCCCAATGCAATTCTTTGCTGTTAGGAGCAACTGGAGCATTTTTGAGTAGGAAAATACTGATTTTATATTTACTTTCAGGACTGTAGCCTTTTTGGGCTAGACGCAAATGCAAAGTAGAATTTCAATGGAATTCTGATTTCCTCATGAATTTTTCCCGTAAATGTTGAGAAAAAACATCCCCGTTCTCCCCTACTTTTGCCGTGCTGAAAATACATCTCTCTTCTGGGATTTTTCACGTGACACGGCTTGACAGTCGGAAAATACCGACAATGTGATTGATCTGCGGGACAGATTGGGAGTCATTTTGAAATCACAGAGCCAGAAGAGAGTGTATATTTCACAATTGCCAGTGTTATAAGGTCAAGGGGTCGATGAACCGTCTTGACTGATGTGATGGAAGGAGCGAAATGCAGATTGAAGGATTTCACCGATGAAATATGTAAATCCAGGAGCAATTTATAGCATGCTCGGCAGTTTCGGTCCTCAATGGGGGAGATATTGGCTCTGTGAAACCCTACTCACCATTCTTGTTTCAATCTCCACGTCAATATTACACCTCATGCGACGTCTCGTTTGGCCCAGAACGGGAGTGCACATGAAGATCTCCGCCACGGAGGCTCGTCGCTCATCCTGACCAAGCAATCGGTCCATCTCGCGCATCACGCAGACGGGCGTCTTGGCGGCGGCCTCGTAGAGATTTCTCACGGCATCCGAACGAGTGGCGGGTGTGAAGAGGGCCGTGGCGAAGGTCTCGGTCGACTTGAAGTGGTTCTTGATGTGCACGAATGTCGCCAAGTCACCCTCAGCTGCAAGTGACAAAGAGGAAATGATGCGAATTAGTGATGGAGCAGACAGAATACGACAAATGGAAACAAGTGGCTGTTAAAGAGTCGTGACTGAAATATTAATTAAGACCTCTTGGTTCACCGCAGAGTGACTTTATTTATATCGATTGCCATCTCAGCGGGTCACCTAAAATCGCTGCACATTAATCATTGCAGCTAATTAAGGTCCGATATAGTGAGCTTTTTATTGCCTAGCACAGTTTCTGCCCCCGAAATGGTCGACAAGATAAGATTTACACGCAGCCGTGACTGTGAAACCTCTCCGGAACCATGTGCTGCAACTCTCTAATATAGCATCCACAGACAACCCATTATATAATATATAATAAGACGCCAGAACGCCCACTCATCCGCAGCCACGCTCCCCGGCAAAAGTGGGAAAGCGATGGGTGTTGATTCACCGGCATAGTGTACAAAAGTATGTACTTAATTTATGAACATTTCTTCCTCTACGACCCACTCCATCGTGACTCAACCCGCACATTTCAGGACTTAACTGCGCTAAGGCCATTCCAGCTGACCATTTGCTGCGGCAGAACTTCAAAAACCACTTGTGGAAATGAAAACCCAACGAAGATTTGTTCTGCGGCCGTGAAAATGAATCGCAATATGGCGATTCGTGAAATTACCCGAAAAGAACTGTCCGAGGCAATGTCATAAATTCCAAAAGCACCTGTGCACATATCGACTCTCTTGAGACACTTTTACGAGTTTAGAGAAGTCGAAAGTAACTGCAATTTTCAAGAAATCCATTGCGAGGAAGAGTGAAGGCATGTTTTTTTTTTTAATAACTTGAATTCTCATCCTGTCTGGCTAGAATAGCTTGGAGCGTGTAGAGTCTGGACAGAAGCTTGCCAGACATGATTCATCACTGTAACTTATTCAAAGGATAAATCAATATCTTTACTGTAACCCGATCAAATTCTTTTCATCTGTTTTCAATGACTTACAGAGCATTTGATGCAATTTTATGCATTATGACCTGTTAAAATCTGGTGTTCTTTTATGCAGAATTCTTTCTGTTCAGAATGCATGCAGACAGATTACAAACTTTGAATTAAATTATTCCATCTTTCACATTATATGCAATACAAATTAGAATGTCAGTTACAATTCTCCAAGTCTTGCACTTTGGCCCTCCCACACCTTGTGTGTTTGTGTGAGAAAGGTCATTACTCACGGCTGAAATCATTCGAGCAATAAATAAAAGTTTGCAGAATAGTTTTGTCTGCCCCAGAGACATTCCCGAAACTTTCCTCTCCGAATGTTTCTTTGTACCGCACCGCCCTCAGGAGCTACGGCAGTGTCTCACCTTCACGCCAATGTTTTCCCTGCAGTTTAAATTAGTTACCCACCCGAAAAGCTCACACCCTCAGATGGATCCACACAAATGGCGGGAAAAGTTGTACAAGTACCTCCCGGCGGGGAGTTCAGACCTGCACAGGCAACATTCTGCGCGCGTGGAGCGCCCCTGAACAAAGGGCCTCCGGGAGTGAGAGATAAGAAGATCTCTGTCTTTTAATTAACATATAACTTATGGGTTACACCGGGAGAGATCTTGTCACGTACCAGTGTTAATTGGATCCAATGTTTTTTCCCCCAGCCACTTGCTGTATAGCGCATATAAATATAAATTAATCATCGCGCAGAGAAAAGATCAGACCACCAAGGTTTTTCGGGTGAGAGATTGCATTTACAATTAATTTTCCCACAGCGCGAGGGGAGAAAGAAACTGTGAATTCTCAGCTTGTCACTTCTGCAAAGATTCTTCCCATTTGTGTGCCGTCACGTCCGCCAAATCTAATCGAGAATTGTCCATCAAGACGTGATCACGGCAAGTTCTCCTTTTAATCTGCCAACGCAGGATTCTGTCCAGCCCCTTGCAGTCACTCCGTAGGTAAATAAAACGCACATCTGACCGCCCTCTCGGTCGGATGAAAGAGCATAAACAATTGGGGAGGATGGATGGAAGCGGTGGCAGGAGCACAGCCACAATGGCACTCGGAAGAATAAGGCATTATTCTGCGTAATGTGGCGGGATGCGTAACAGTGGGAGCAATAAAATTGCCATAAGTTACAATCATGAGAATCTTATCTGTGGCAGTATATCACTTTAAGTACATTCACCTTTTGACTCCTCTGTCACATGCTGTGGAGACACCCACCACCCCCTGAATAGGATTACCACGACTCCGTCCCCCTTTCATTTCCCTATCTCTCCCCACTCACCATCAAATAAACATCGAAGTGTTTCCCCTTCGGCATTATCTGAGCGCTCCACAACTTTACAATGAAACCATAAATAATCCCACATATGCATGTCTTCAAAATGTCATCTTTCACTCTTTTTTTGCCAGTCGTGCCTACATAACTTCCTTCCTTCGCGGTGAGTCAAAAGACATGAAATGTTTGGAGAGAATTTCGCCACATTCAGCAACTAATATGGCTGCGAATAATTCAGGGATCATCCCATTCACGGAAGTCCTACAATTTTCCCACTCTCACCTATCAATTTCAAAGGAAAATTTAACTTCCTGGAGGGCAATGTCTGCGAAATTCTCGTGGAATCCAACACGTGCCAATTCCCAGAATACTCCAAAAATCTCTGCTCCAACGTAGAAACTTTGAAAGCAAGGGTTAAGTGAGATCTTCTCGTTTTATATAACATTATTTTGCATGACAACACTTAACGCATAATTCCCTGAAAGATATTAAGTAACTTGCTCACCATATATAGAATATAGGACCATATTTGGGCATCAGGCAATGCAAATTTATTTGTTTTTACAATAAATTAACGATAAATCGTAATTATTACACAACTCCGCCAATTTTTCTGCAAATTTAGATGAACAAATGAAATCATCATTCACGCCAAAAGATCAATGGTTATTTGTTTACATTTAAATCAAAATCCAAATAATACAGCACAGAGTTAAAATAATCATTTGGGCTGATTAAAAACATTGTGCCACAAAACAAAATTAAAGGATGAAATGCAAAAGTAATTAATTCCGTTTTATAATTAAGCTGTATGTATTTGTTGATTACGGGTGATTTTTTTTATTAATTTGGTTCACAAAAACATTTTATTAATTGTTGCTCATTAAAATGCCCATCAGTATTTTCCATTAATTAACAACTGTATTTTTTTTATTTTTCACAGAGTATTAAGTGGTGTGAAAAAAATAAAAATAGAAATCTGAATTTTGTCCTCAAATAAAATAACAATGAATGATAAAATTGGTGGAATATGTGAAAGTGTCACGGATTTAATGTTGAAAATAAAATTTGAGCGATCACATTTCTAACTCCGCGGAGTTATCTTTCAGCATGTGACATCCTCTTGTGTAGTGTCGATGCGCTTATGACAGTGCACATGTCCATGCGAGGAAGTTGTCAGTGGGATAAATATCGCGAGATTTGATGCAGAGGAACGGTCGCGATTGTGTCCAGAGAGAATTCTGCGGAGGATGCAAATGCGGCAATTTCCAATGGCTCTCCTATGAATTATTGTGAACAGAAGCCGGAGGGCCGTCAATCAAAAGGGGCCGCGGGCGCGCGGGAACACGAAAAAGTCGGCGTCAGTGTGGAAAGTCGTGAATTTATGCATGACGTGAACATTTGAGCTTTCTGTTTGCACTGTCGATGTCAGAAGATCTGAGAATGAGTGAAATGCACAAATTGGAAGTGGAATCGCCATATAGAGCCGCTGCGATTGCCTCCGTTGAGATAGATTAAAACACACAGCGTTGTGGCCAAATGCTCAGTTTATACTTTTCCTCAAGTCTGCAGAAAAGTCCTCCTTTCCAGACAAATCTGTATTGGATATCTACCAGTGGCAAAGTTTGTGCAAATCATTGCCATTTTCTGATAAATTGCACCGATAGAGTGAGAAGAATAAACATCTTTTGCCCGCCGTTCTCATGACTATTTTCTTTCAACAGTCATTTATATAAATTTATAGCCCATACACATTGTAGGACTTGTGCAAATGAGTTCGATGGCTGTTCAGCCGCTATTTTCCCGCCAAAGTGCACAGCAAATTACACAACATCCACAGCGCAAATTGAGATCTTACTTTACAAATTTAATATATGCGATAACAGCCGAAATCCCAGTGGTATAATTAAGGAAAGTCAGCATATTCACATGGAACTAATGGAAATTAATGGTTGCTGCCGCGAAGTGGAGATTATTGAACAGCCATCAATCGATAGGGCTTCTTTTCTTACGCCTCTTCTGCAACTATAAGTGTCTATCGTGGCTAAGAAAAGGTGTTATACGACGAGAGAGGCTCTATAATTTAACCACACGATGTTGGCATTGAATTTCTTAAACATTCAGCCAACGGATTGAATGTCCGGAGGAAAATAAGACCACGTTTCAACACACATTGTGACTAATTGAGAAATTGATACCTTATCGCTTAGGAGAGGGAAAAGTTTTCAAGAGGTATTAATGCCACAGCGTAATATTTTGGAAATATTCCGCCAGAAGAAAGAAACTATTTGCTGATTTATACATAATTCCTTCCTACAAGAAATACATGTTTTTCTATGTAAAAAAAACATATGGCAAAGCATAAAGCAGAATAACGAGAGAGTTTACAAAGGTATAAATTTCATTGCGTGGTGAAACTTAACTTAGAAGAACTATAAGGAAAACTACAAGAAAAAGGCGAGTAAGGATAAGTTGGGGATAATTTTGCTCCTCTCCCTATTATGGCTTCTGTCTAGCGCCTTGAAATAGAAACCACCCTCAATTCTCGTCGTGACCAATTCGCCCACAATGTCGGCATTTGGCATGAAGACCGAATCACGGACGACGCGTATTTGAGTTGATTGAAAAAGCGACATGAGAAAATTCTCATTTAATTAAACAGAAGCTCCCCAAATGTTGCCATGCAATTTGTCCTGACGAGGATTCTGTCCGATTGAGAATCGGAAACTCTGAATTGG